GGTGTGGCCATTAAGGAAAAAAGTATGGAGTTTCCTCAAAAAATTAAATATGGAACTGCCATTTGACCCAGTGATCCCACTTTTAGGAATATATCCTAAGAAACCCAAAACACCAACCAGAAAGAATGTGTACACCCCTATGTTCATAGCAGCACAATTTACAATAACTAAGATCTGGAAACAGCCCACGTTCCCATCAGTAGACGAGTGGATAAAAAAGCCATGGTACATTTACACCATGGAATACTATGCAGCAGTAAAGAAGAAGGATCTCACCCTGACCAGTTTGGCTCAGTCGTTAGAGCGTCGGCCTGTGGACTGAAGAGTCCCAGGTTTGATTCTGGTCAAGGGCATGTACCTTGGTTTCGGCACATCCCCAGTAGGGGGTGTGCAGGAGGTAGCTGATGGATGTTTCTCTCTCATGGATGTTTCTAACTCTCTATCCCTCTCCCTTCCTCTCTGTAAAAAAATCAATAAAATATATTTTTTAAAAAAGAAGGATCTCTTACCCTTTGAGACAGCATGGAGAGACCTGGAGAGTATCACGCTAAGTGAAAGAAGCCAGTCAGAGAAAGACAAGTATCACATGATCTCAGTCAGATGTGAAATATAAGTAACAAAATAAACTGATGAACAGAGTGGATCCAGAGGCATGGAAGCATGGAACAGAGTGTGGAATCTCAGAGGGAAGGTAGGTGAGTAGGAGGTAATCAACCAAAGACCTTGTATGCATATATGCATCACCCATGGACACGAACAGTGGGGTGGTGAGGGCCTGCAATGGGCTTTTTCATACACCAATAAAAAGGGAGCAGGCTGGAAGGGGTCAATGTGGGGTGCGGGGGGGCCGGGGGGAACATATGGAATACTTTCAACAATAAAGGTGTTTTTTTTTAAATGGGTAAAGGCCCTGAATAGATACTTTTCCAAAGAGGATATACAGATGGCCCATAGACATATGAAAAAATGCTCAGTCACTAATCATCAGAGAAATGCAAATGAGAACTACAGTGAGGCATGACCTCAAACCTGCCAGAATGGCTACCATCAACCAATCAACAAACAAGTGCTGGTGAGGATGTGGAGAAAGGGAACCCTTGTACAGTGCTGGTGAGAATGCAGTCTGATGCAGCCACTGTGAAAAACAGGAGGGAGTTTCCTCAAAAAATAAAAAATGAACTGCGTTTTGACCCAGCAATCCCACTTCTGGGACTATCTCCTAAGAATCCTGAAACAGCAGTCAGAAATAATATATGAACTCCTATGTTTCATATATTTACAATAGTCAAGATCTGGAAACAGCCCAAGTGCCCATCAGTAGATGAGTGAATAAAAAAGCTGTGGTACATCTACACAACAAAATACTATGAGGCCATAACATAGGAAGGAGTTCATACCCTTTGAGACAGCATGGATGGATCTGGAGAGTATTATGCTAAGTAAAATAAGGCAGTCAGATAAAGACAAATACTTATATGATCTCACTAAATGTGGAATCTAATGAACAAAATAAACTGACAAACAAAATAGAACCAGAGGTATGGATACATGGAACAGACTGACAAATGTGAGAGGGGAGGGGAGGAGGGGAAACAGGAGAAAGGTGAAGGGATTAGCTAAAGAACATATATGCATTGCCTGGCCAGTGTGGATCAGTTGGTTGAGCGTAGTCCCATGTATCAAGAGGTCACCAGTTCAATTCCCAATCAGGGCACAGGCTGTGGGCTTGATCCCCAGTAAGGTGTGTGCAGTAGGCAGCCGATCTATGTTTCTCTCTCATGAATATTTCTCTACCTCTCCCTTCCTCTCTCTAAAAATCAATCCTATATAATAAAAGGCCAGTGACCATAACAGCGTAACAACCAGAACGACCCATCAACCAGTCGTTATGAGGTGCAGTGGTCCCTCCCTGCAGCCCACAGGCTCCAATCGCTGGATGACCAGTGGGGAACCATGGGGAACCAAGCGTGGGTGGCGCCAGGGCAGGACTGGGGATTGGTGAGCAGGCAGAAGGCAGACCTCTTGGTCCCACCCCCCAGCCCGCAGGCTCCAATAGATCACCAGATGGCGAACAGGTAACCAGGTGGGTGTTGGGAGGCGGGGCGGGACTGGTGAACGGGTGGGAGATGGCCCTGATCGCAGGCGAGGCCTAGGGACCCTACTCGTGCACGATTTCGTGCACTGGGCCTCTAGTAGTAATATATTTTTACATAGCCCATGGACACAGACAATAGTGTGTGGAGGGCCAAGGTGGGACAGGGGCTGGGTGGAGGTGGGCAAAGAGGGAGGAAATGGGAGACATCTGAAAGTCTCAACAATAAAAAGTTTATATGAAATAAAAATAGAAGTTTTAAAGAGAAGAGGGAAAACATGGGGTAAAGAAATAGAACCAACCTAGGACTCCCGACCGGAGAGTGAGGGAGAGCTGCGAAGCCGCAGATGCGTGGTGAGGCTGGAGGCCAAGTGCTCAGGGCACCTGAGGACACACAGCTTCCGACTGCACACCTGGGACAGTGTGTGGGAGGCAAGCAAAGCGCCAAGGCAACTGGCTCCAGGAAGACAAAGTTTGTGCAGGTGTCATTTTCAGACGTAATGAAGAATCTACTGAGCACTTCTGTGATCAAGGGGGGGTGTATGTGGTGACAGGAGCCAAGCTCCATCTACCCTCCCAAGTGGGGAAGCAGAGGATAAGGACCCAAACTCATGTTACCTGGAAAAAAATGAAGGTAAACACCAACATAGTCTGCTACAAGGATGAGCTGCCTGTGGGAGAAAAACAGACGGGGACTGTCTTTTGCAATAGCATTGTAGACACGTGTTACCATATGTGCAGCTGTATTTCATAAAAGACAACTTTGAAAACATGAATATAAAAAATTTAGTTTCAAAAGAATTTGTTGAATAAATCTTACTGGCAAATTTCTACACTAAGGTGGTACATTAGTATAGGAAACACTTTTATTATTTTGCAAGGGTCTTTTATGCTGAAACTTATCTCTTCCAGTTTATTCTGGAAGTATGATGCTCATAAAACTCATTAAAGCAACAATAACCTGAAAGTATTAATATATTGTTCAAATGGAAATGTTCCTTATTTAATAACTATTAGTTTTTAATTATACAATGATTAAAGTTTCAGAAATCTTACATAAAAATTCTTTCCAAGAAAAGATAAAAGGCATTTTGAGAATTATGAAATTAATAGAGGCCCAGTGCACGAAAATTCGTGTACTCAGGGGAGTCCCTCAACCCGGCCTGCGCCCTCTCACAGTCGGGGACCCCTCGGGGTATGTCCACCTGCCGACTTAGGCCCGCTCCCCGAGGGATCGGGCCTAAGCTGGCAGTCGGACATCCCTCTGGCAGCCCGGGAGCCGTCCTTCTTAGTGCTGCAGAGGAAGCAGGAGGGGTTCCCACCACTGCCACTGTGCTGGCCAGCCATGAGCCAGCTTCTGGCTGAGCGGTGCTCCCCTGTGGAAGCGCACTGACCACCAAGAGGCAGCTCCTGCATTGAGCATCTGGCCCCTGGTGGTCAGCGACCAGTCGTTTCGCTGTTAGAGTCAATTTGCATATTACCCTCTCATTATATAGGATTCCGTAAACAAAAGATTAGCTTAATAGAGTATTTTAGAGACAATCCACATCAATCAACAAAATAAATTTAAATATTCAAGAATATGCTAGTAATTTGTCTACCAGGATTCAAACGTGGATTAATGGGCCTTTTAACAACGGACACGTTTTGCATATATGTATTTAGAAGAGAAATCAATAAAAAAGTAAAGCATGAGTAAGTCAGCAATGAGTCCAGGCAGGAAGTGTGCTGTCTGAGCAGCGAATCTCAGGCACACACCGTGACCCCTTCGCTCTCTCCGACATGGCAACGAGGAGGAACACTCAGAACGAAGGAATGTCAGTCAGTTGATGTCAGGCTGCAGCTAGAATCCTTTGGGGCACTGCTTACTTTCCATGGTAGGATCTGGGGGTGCTGGGGAAACGACACACTTCCCAGGGGAGCCCCGTCCTGTGCACATGCTGGACCCGTGTTGGTTGGCCGAGGTCCCCTGGGGCTTTGGGGGCTTTCTAGCCGTGACAGCGTGTGCAGAGAACGGACAGCAAAGCCCGAGTTCTGAAGGCTCCGGTGGAAGCTGAGCCACTGCTGCCAACGGAACCACTGTGGTCAGACAGAGAAGGCCCGGCGACATCCGAGTTAGAATGGAACTCACTGGAATCCAGGCTGTCCAACAAGTTTTTATTGAGCACCTACTCTGCGCAGCACTGCACTAGGTGCCATGGAGAATACAAGAGAAATACAAGATATGGTACCCGCCCTCAAAGAGCTTACAGAACTAGACAGAAGTCGGATGTGCGTGACGGAGGCAGCATGTGGCGTGGAGGGTGTGCTGGCGAAGGGAGCAGTGTCCAGCGGCGGGGAGCAGCCGCTCAGGGCAGGGCAGGCAGAGTGCCTGCCATGGAAGGGCACGTTGCAAGGTGATCTGGCTGGAGCAGGGAGCTGTGCTATATAGTATATAGTATCACCATGCAGCTTCCCCCTGTGGGTACTATGGGGCCTGGACATAGGCTGGGACCTGGGTTGGGTCTGTGGGCAGATTTGCTTTAATTCCTCTCATGACATAAAGGCCCGTGGGCCTGTGGACGCCCACTGCCTGCCTCTCCCCAGCCCGTGCCAGGAGGATGAGGGGTGGAGCGGGAGCCAAGTGCCCACTGGAGAAGCTGGCCCAGCCCTGCAGCAGGGGAGGCTCTGCTGGGGGTGGGGTTGGGGTAGGGGGGTATTCGCCCTGTGCTTTCAGATGGACCACAAAGAGCATGATATCGTGGGTGTTTAAAAAAACTCTCCTCACAAGGACCAACCCATGAGGTCACTTACTGACCACTGGTCACAAGTGTCATCCCAAAGCCAAGGTATGTAGACCATCCCCGAGACCCGTGGCTGCAGGAGCCCCACCTACACCGTCTGGACCGCACACGCACAGCCCTGGTCTCCAGAGAGAGTGGTCTCTGCCCTCGACACCGGAGACCTCCGCTGGCCGCCAGGCGCCGGGGTCCAATGCCAGGGAGGCCTCGCTGCCTCTCCTTCCGTGCGTTTGCAGCCTTTTCCTAGATGTTTCCCTCTGTGCCGGGGCAGCTCTGTAAGGCGGCAGGGAAGGCAGCAGAGTGGACGGGGTGAGGGGAAGCTATGGGATCAGGGGACAGGAGTGGTCGGGGTGGAACAGTCCGCTGGTCTTTCCCAAGGACATGTGGCACGGAATGAGATGCTGGGCAAGAAAGCGCTGCCTGGCCTCTCACTCAGCAAAGACAGTGCAGGGCTGGGTCAGAGGCCGCAGGAGGGAGGGGAGGAGCCAGGTGGGAAGTGTGCAGAGGCCCTCCAGAGGCGGGGAAGAGGCGCCCTGCAGTGTAGGGGGAGCAGCAGCGGCCGTGGGGTCCCTCCTCTCCCTCCTTCAGGTGCTGGGCCAGGCATCTCCTTCCCCCTTCAGTCCTGGAATTCCCGAGGAGCCCCGTGGGTGGGGGCCCGGGCAGGCAGCGGAGGCTCAGGGCCTCAGCAGGAGGCGTGTCCCAGGCCACTTGAGCCACAGGAAGGGGACCAGGCGCCGGGTGAAGGTGGTGGTGAAGGTGTGAAGCAGCTCCTGCGACTCGGCGTTGGTGAAAGTCACGGCACCCCCTTCGTAATCCAGGGCGATGCCCACTCTCCGGGGCCGCGCTGCCGGGAAGAGCTCGGCCTCGGGGTCCGTGTTGGCCCAGATGCCCGCGGAGGAGAGGCGCAGCGCCCACACCCCGTCCTCCGGCCGCAGGGAGAGGTCTCCCTTCCTCTTCAGAGAGTCTCTGGCCACGCCCACCATGCAGCTTTCCAGAACTTCCTCCTCTTCTTCCTCCTCCTCTTCTTCCTCTTCGTCCCCCAATGATTCCTCGTCCTCATCTGTTTCCCAGTTGTCGTATCCATCTCCATAGCCAGCCTCCTCTTCCTCCTCCTCTTCCCCCTCTTCCTCCTCGTCCCCGTCCTCTTCATCCTCGGACCAGCCCTCCCTCTCCACCTCCACTTCCCAGTAGACCTTGCCCCAGGTGAAGCCCTTACTGCCGAGCACCCCCGGCTCACAGTCGAACTGCTGGGGGTGCAGGTAGGCGCAGTGGTACAGGTCGCTGTTGTAGGTCACGCACTTGCAGTCCTCCGACAGCAGCAGGGACCTGCTGGCCGACTGCGGGTCCAAGGTGACACTCACTATGGGAGCAAAGGAGGAGGTAACAGTGTCACCAGTGGGCCCAGAGGGCCACCCGTCTCCATGGTGTCCATGGGCAGGGCTGCCACACGGCACCACCCCAGGGGCCAGTCACACCGCACGCAGGGCACTCCCTGGCCTAGGCTGCCCTCCCAGTGGGCTCCAAATACGGAAGCATGTGATGAGGCTGAGGAGAGGAAACTGAGTCAGGGAAGGGACTGGCGGCAGGCCCTGTGAGGCTGGAACCACCAGACACGGACACAGGGCAGCGAAGGGCGAGACCATGTCGTGGAGCCTCCACTGCAGCGGAGGGCAGACAGTGGTCAGAGATGAAGTGGGGCTTGAGCTCTGCTGCTGGGAGGTTCTCCCTGTGGCATGAGGGGACTCCTGGCAGGGGACACCACCATCTCCGTGGGAACCGCCTGCTGGACACTCACCCGTCTTATATTCCAAGTCTCTTAGCAGCTTCCCTGTGGAGAAGAGAAGGACACCGATGGCCGCAGGCCCAGCACCGCGCTCCCTGCTCCCGAAGCAGCTTCGGACCCGAGAGCGGGGCCAGGAGGAGTGGGGCCCTCCCTGAGTCCAGCCCCGCTCCCGCCCCGCCCAGGCTCCCAGCCTTACCCTGGAATTCTCGCAGGCCTCGCTGCAGAGACACGAGTTTACCCGAGAACTCTCCTGTCCTTTTCTTAGCCACCCGGACAATGGGTTTCCCGAGCCAAAGCTTCTTCCGTGGGTACCTGAGGGGAGACATAACCTCGGCTGTGCTTGCATTCCAGTCCTCAGAACAAGGATGGAGGAGGGAGCAGGATCCCTCCCCACCACAGACAGAGAAACAGGCCAGAAACAAGAGCTGCGAGCGTCAGCAGGCTCAACCCCAGAGCCGTTCAGCTTACAGAGCCACCTCTCCCCTCACCACTTGACCGTCCCAGACGAGCAGAGCAGGCCGAGGTGGGGGGCGCACAGAGATCTTGCTCTGTGGACAGCAAGACTTGGGTTCAGGATGGTTCTTGCTTCCCAGGAGGAACCATGGGTGTGGGGACCTTGGGTACCGTTTCACTCCCCATTCATTCAAATGGCTAAGGTCAAGGCCAAAAGGGCGGGGGGCGGGGGGGGGCACGGGGACAGGCAGGGCAAGGCGAGGCGAGGCACACTCCAGCGAAGAAGCTGTTACCTGTTCAAGAGGTCCCTGGTGTCCTGGAAGGGAAGAAAGCACAGGATCAGCAAGTCGGGCCTCACTCACCTGCGCCAGCACCTCACAGACCGACGCGGGCCGTCCTTAGGCAGCTGCGGTTCTGGTGGAGTGTGGGTACAAGGGAAACAAATGATGACAGCAACCGGGCTGGGGCATGGAGCAGCAGGCCGGCTCCCGGCGGAGACTGGAAGTGGGAGGTGCTGGCCAGGTGAAGGCCAGGAAGGTAGGAAAGGACGGAGGGAGGCAGGGCCAGGCCATGCAGGCTGAACAGGAACAGCAGGGAGTTTAAACTTCGTTCCACGTACAGCAATAAACCACCGCCGGGTCCAGGAAGGCGAGTGATACACGCCACCTGCTTTCATGTGGCTGTGAGTCCAGGATCCATTCTCCCCTTCTTCCTTTTAATAACAGAACCCAGCAAAAACTCCATTTCCCATAGTCCCTGGTAACCAGGCCTGGCCATGAGATTAAGCTCCAGCCACGAGACATAAAGGGAAGCAATGACTACAACTTTGGGGTCATGTCCTTTACAAAAAGGAGGTTGCTTTCTGCTTCCCCTTCCCTTGGCCAACTTCTACATATTTAGGTGGTGAGCCCCACATTGACAACACAGCTGAGGACAAGGTCCCTTGAAGGGAGTGGAACCGGAGGAAGTCACCAGCTCTGTTGAGCTCACAGACAGCCCCCCCGACAGCCCCAGGCACCCCCCCCCACCCCCAAGGCTCCTGAGAGACAGACACACGACCTTGTTCATCTAGTCACGGCACTGGAGTGCGACACAGCAGCTGGCCAAATCCCCGCCACCCACCGCATGGTTGCCCTGTGCATGGCCGAGGGAGGTCATGTGAACTTGGGGGCCAGCCTGGAGGCTGCTGTGGACCAGGGGGAGATGGCAATGGGTCAGAGGCACCGTGACAAGGGAGACGGGGGCCCAGGCATGTCTGAGGCAGGTCGACCGGGCATGAAGGGCAGACCGTGGCTGGAGAAGGGAGACCGTGCTGCCGTGGGTGACGGAGACAGGGTGGAAGGCGAGGGGGTTCTTGTGAGGTGCTGGTTATTTCCCTTGTGAGTCTAGAGCAGAGGTGGGCAAACTTTTTGACTCGAGGGCCACAATGGGTTCTTAAACTGGACCGGAGGCCAGAACAAAAGCATGGATGGAGTGTTTGTGTGAACTAATATAAATTCAAAGTAAACATCATTACATAAAAGGGTACGGTCTTTTTTTTTTTTTTTAGTTTTATTCATTTCAAACGGGCGGATCCGGCCCGCGGGCCGTAGTTTGCCCACGGCTGGTCTAGAGCCTCCACAGCAGTCTACATTAAGTTTTGTCTTCATGTCACTCATTCATTAATTAAGCGCCCCCTACATGCCAGGCCCTGCTCTAGCAGCCTGGGTTACAGCAGTAAGAGCCGCCCATCTCTCCCGGTTGGAGCGACCTGCAGGGGAAGAGACAAGGAGTCACCCCCACAAAGCTTTACATGACAGGGTCACCTGAGGCGCGCCAGGAGCCGCGGCAGGAGGAAGAGCAGGGCGGAGGGCCTGGGGAGGGCGGAGGTTTGGGGACAAAAGCCTGGGCGTTTGTGGCTGCTGAACGTCCAGACGCCTCGGGAGGCAGCAGCTCTGCTGCAGGGAAGGACACGTGAGAAGTCAGAGCTACACATGCCCCGCCAGGAAGCAGCTGCCAGACCCCGCGGCGGCATTTCTGGCCGATCCTTCCTCACAACAGGAAGTCCAAGCAGCTAGAGGGCTGGGCGGCAAGTCGGAGGCAGGGAGTGCCAAGTCTGCAGAGGGAGGTGTGCAGAAAGGCAAAGAGATGGGCAGTGGGAGCCGCTTAAGGGATAAAGGTGCTGAGTGGCCGGAGACGGTGGGACCGGAGACCAGTGCAGGAACCCTCCTCCCAAAGGACACAGAGGGGACCTGGGGTGCTGGCCACCTGCAGCCACGCACAGGTCTCGCCCGACATGGGCGTTTGTGAGGCAGGCAGTGCGTTGCGGCCAGCCGGGTGGGGCACACGCCTGGGTGCTGACGAGAGCATCACAAAGGGCTCTTCCCAGGCAAGGAAGGCAACCCGCAGTGGATGCCACCAAGTCTGCCCAGGGCTGGTCCAGGCGGGACGTCCGCGCCTTCCGGCCACTCCTCTCTGTCCCCTTTAGCACCTCCATGAGCTCCCCAGTCCAGAGCCTCCTTTCCTTTTCTGTCCCCTGGTTAAAGCCTTTGGGCACCTTGAGTCCGTTGCTTCCTGGCACCCTCGTGTCTCCAGCAAACCTCTGCACCAGCTCCCACCCTGCAGCACCTCAAGCTTCCTGCCCAGTGGCGGGCAAACAGCCCTGGGGAAGAATGACAGCCAAGGGGTCGGCTGTCCAGTGCCCTTGTAGCAAAATCTACACAAACATAGACAACACCAATTTCCTGCACCGGCTTGAAGCAGACACCCAACTCTCTCCCCGCCCCCGCCCCCGCCCCCACCCCAGGCAAGGCTTCAATCTGAGGCTCTTGCCCCCGCCCTCCCCCCCCAGCTCCTGTGGGTGGATGAGCACCCCTGGGGCACATGCAACTGCAGGTCAGCCGCCAGCACCTGCGCCCTCTGCTCCAGGCACAGTGCACATGGGTCGGGGATGGCTGTGGGGAAGGAAGGATGCTCGTCCCTGAAGGGGAAGAAGACACCGGGAGGGGAGAGGCAGCAAGTGACCCAACCAGAGTCTGAGAGAAATCTGAGGCGATAGAATGCCATCTGTAGGAAAGGGCGGAGCCAGAGACACACATTGTTTACAAGAGAGAAAAGCACGAGAGCGCAGACAGACGCTGGGAGCGAGGACCTGGGAGTGAGAACCAGACTGGAGCTCTGGCCGACTCCTGACCTGCCCATGGCCAGGAACTCTCTGACCCTCAGTGACCACGGTGAGGCTGCACTGAAGGACCTATAGCCCTGCCAGTCCTGAGTCCTGCATTCACCAGGACGGAGAGGGCTGGAGCCTCCTGCCGCCTGGGTCCGAGCTGGCCCAGGCGCCGAGAATGTGCCCTGCCCTCTCCGCCAGCACCGACACAGGCCCAGCCACCGGCCATGCAAGGGGAGGGACCGCCACACTGGCCTCCCTGGCCCACGAGAGCAGAGGGAGGGGCGCGGCCCACGGTGCCGAGCCCTGCCTGCAGGACCGACTCCCGGGGAGGCTCGGAGTTTGGCCTGTGGAGCCATTTCAGCTTGGCCAGCTGTCTGTCCTACGGCCCAGGCCTCCTCCTTTCTCAGCATCAGGAAGAGTTCCAGAGGCAACTCACCTGTGTCCGTCTCTGCCCTGCAGTGGCTCCGAGTCCCAGAGAAACACTCGCCCACACTGACCCTCCAGCCCTCTCCGCCCCCCTCCTCCCCGCTCCCAGCTTTCACAACTTCAGCTGCAGAACCACAAAGAGCTTCCATGGACAAGTCTGCTAGGGCGTGTGAGACGTGTCGGAAGATGGCTCATGATGCTGGTGATGAGGATGGAAGATAGCTCTGGAAGTACTAGTAACCTTCCCCTCCACCGCAATATTTTTAAACTTCGTGGGAAACTTACTTTTTGAAGTGACACTATGCCAGCCATCGCATGCTGGAGGCTAAGTCCAGCAGGTCGTAATTATGCAAGAAGTTCATCAAAAGACTGATGAACCTAGGGGCTCCAGCAGGGCTGCAGATCTGCACGTTACTGCCTGCTGCCAGACAGCTAGCTGAGGGCAGTTCCCCGACCTGATAACCCTTATTGTTTACCAATCCTTACCTTTGATGTGTGTATATGCTTCGCTGGAGGGCAAAATGTATTAACAAAGAGCTAGGGGTCCGGAGATTTGGAGAGCTTGGTCACTACAACTGAGTTTCCGTCTGGCCCTCCAAAATGCCTTCCAAATTCATGTTTCTTGTCTAGTCTCTCTCACTCATGTATGCACAGCCCCTTCTCCAGATCCCTTGAACCTGGCAGATGCTGAGAAAGACCCGGCATCGCACTTTACGCTCAAGCAACCACTGGAATAAGTGGGCGAGCAGGGTTCCCAGCCCGTGTCTCAGAGAAGAAAGCCGAGGCCCCAAGGCCTGCAAGCCCACAGCAGGACAGGCCTGCCGCCCGGTGCCCAGCCCCGCCCCCAGAAGGCTTCTCACCTGCATGAGCTCTGCGGCCGGCTGCTGGGCCTTGCCCTCCAGCTCAGAGATGACCAGCGCCAGCCGGGCCAGCTCCCCGCTGCCCCTGGCCTGGCACTTCTCCCTGCCCTCGGCGAGCTCCTGCTCCAGCCTGGCCAGCTGGTCCAGCAGGTGCTGCTCCCGCTCCCGCAGGAACTGGTGGCCCTGCGCAAACTCGGCCACGACGTGCTGCCTCTGCTCCCGGAGCTTCTGCTGCGGGGTGGGAAGGGCAAGGGTGACGCCTCCGCCTGGCGGTGGGAAACCCCTGCAGGATCTGGTGTAAGCGGCGCCAGGCGCTCTTCTCCCCGCCCACGAATCCCAAGCTCAGGCTGGGGGCCTTTCGCGCATCCCTGGGCCAACCTCCCGCCTCAAAGAAGTCAGTCACAGAGCAGTCCAGCCGCCTCGGGACTGGAACTCTGCCTGCCTGCTAGCTGCCTGGCTGCTCAGCCTGGTACCAGTTCCAGGAAAACAGTATGTTCCAGGGTCTCCTGAGCACTAGTCTCTGCAGCCGCCTCTTCCAGGAAGCTCACGGACTGCTCTCCTCCAAGCCGACCAACCCTCGCCCCAGCACCGGGCCCTGCACAGGGCCGCACCAGTGACCTCAGCAGGTCTGCGCAATGTCTGTGCTCAGGGACCATGACCTTGCCTGCCCCTGAATCTCACTGCAAGTCCAGGCGGGGATCTGGTCAGTGTCCTGTGCCCGCTGACTGAGGGTGGGCTGCGTCCACACACCAGGGCCTGGAGGTGCACCTTGAACTTGAGCTGTGTTTCCTGCCTCCCTCTCCCTCTCCCAGGGCCCAGTGGCTCATGGCAGGCCTGGCCCCAACATCCCTGCAATGTCCACTTCCCACAGAAAACTGGAACCCGCCTCTACTGAGGTGCACAGGTGCTGCCTGTCGCAGCGGCGGCGGCCACCGGCATCCTCAGCCCGCCCTCCTTCTAGTCCCGGTGGCCCCACGCTGCAGCAACCACGTCTCTCCTCTGAAAGGGAGAGCAGAGCCACCCTTCCTTGGTCCCCACACCCTGGCTCGCCCTCACAGTGGTGGCTCCACAGAGGTGAGTCACAGAGGAGGGACCTTAGCTGACAGCTAGGCAACCCCCTCAGATCAGGAAGCAGGCCAAGGCCAGAGCTGCTGGGCAGGCTGGCCTGCTCCTCGACCAGCCCAGAGGCCTGCTGCCAGGCCGCGGCCGTAGGCTTCCCCTCACAGCCTCACTTACCAGCGCAGCCAGGATATCAGCTTCTCCCTTCGCCTGACAGCCCTGAATTTTGTCTCTGTCTCTCCTTAGAACACTCAGGTGGTTCAGGATTTTTTCCTGCAGAAAGACAAGCAGTGGGGACAGGTGGACGCTCTGGGCGGGGGCGGCAGGGTGGACTCAGGCTGAGCCCTGGGCCGGCAAGAAGCCTTCAGCCGTGGGCCAGGCCGGCCTCCAGGCGGGCAGAGCGCCGGGCGGGTGAGGCTTACCCTGTGGGGCTGGGCGGCCTTCTCCAGCAGCACGGCCGTGTGGGGCTTGTGCTCCCGGGACTCCCGGCACAGCACGCACAGGAGCTGCCCATCATCCTCGCAGTAATAGTGCAGCTTCTCCCGGTGCCGCTCGCACAGCCTCGCGTCCTGCTGCTCCCGGGCTGCGTCCCCCAGCTGCCTGCCCTTGTCCACCTTCAGCCGCTCAATGTTCTCCACCAGGCTGGCCAGCTGCCACACGGGGCGGATGTTCTCCTTCTGAAAAGGTTTCTTGCAGAGGGGGCAGGCGGGGCGGGCCCCCAAGGTGGCGCAGATGTCGGTGGTGCAGCTGCGGCAGAAGACATGGCCACAGTCGATGGTCACAGGGTCCCGCAGGTAATCCAAGCAGATGGAGCAGGTCACCTCCTCCTCCAGGCTGCGCAGCGGCGCTGCCGTGGCCATGCTGTCCTCGGTCCTGGGCTCAGAGGCCTCTGCTCACAGGTGGGGCTCCTGCTCCTTGGAGACCAGACATGGAATCAAGAGCAGACCCAGCAGAGGGCGGAGCTGGCAGCCCGCACAGGGCCGCCCCAGCAAGCAGCAGACTTACCAGCTCCCACAGGCGCACCAAACAGCAGTGTGAGAGCGGCTGACTGACCATCTAGTCCACCCCACTTTGCAGATAAGGAAACTGAGGCAGAGGGCGCAGCCTGGTAGAGCGGGGTCAGGAAAGCAGTCCTGCCTCCAGGTCCTTTCCTTCCATCAGCTGGTGCAATTATGACAGAACGGGGACCCGAGGGCTCTGCTGGGAAACTCATGACAAATCACAAACCTGCAACGTCCAGTAGGCAGTGCTCTCAGCTGGGCAGTCACAGGCTGCACAGCTACTCCTTCAGGTTTCAAAGACTGAGCACGGGGCTCTTCACAAGACCCAAGAAGCACCAGCAGCGTGAGCTCTGGCACTTCCTGTGCAGCGTGTCCCTGGGCTGGGCTTTGGGGGTCTGGTTCTCATCCCAACAGTGGGGCTCGACCGGGGCCTGCAGAGCACCCCTTGACCACTGGACTCGCTCCCAGCTGTGCCTCCCACAGAGCTGGCCCGGCCGCTCTGCGAGGAGCGAGGGGGGCCGTCCCGGCTGGGCTCACCGACACCACGGCAGGATGCCCGCCGGGACTGCGCTGTGTGCCGAGGGCCCGGGCCCCGCTGAGCACAGCTGAGCACGGGAGGACTTCGGTCCGTTTACCTTTGCCGCCCTGGCCCACTTCCTGACCGGACAGCTGCCTGCTGCCCCTGACTCTGTGTGACAATAGAGAACTGTTCTGAGAACTCTGAGCCTGTGTAGCCACCCATAGAGTGGAAGGTGACACTTACCTCCAAGGTTTCCTAAGTGGGCGGAGCGAAAGCATTATGCTGCAAGTCCTGACCCTGAGCACAACACCCAGAAAGTCTAGGAGAGAGTGCAGAAGCCTGGCTCCAAATCCAGGAGTGTTCCGAGCTCTAGAGGCAGAGCGAGACGTAAAGTGGCAGCGAGAGGAAGCGCTCGAGGGGCAGGCAGGGCGGACCTTGCTCTGCTGTGGATCCTGGCCGCACGGAGCAGTCGGGAGAGGGCAACAGAGGGCAGCAGGGGCACACGGGCCACGGCGAGGCTGGAGCGAGTGCACACGCGCCGGAAGTCAATGCCATCAGGACTGTGTCCGCTGAAAGTCCATCGCAACAGAGCCCCGTGGCCCCCGGGCCCTTTCACGCAGCGACAGGAATGAGCTAGAAATGACCCCCAGGCTCTAAGACCCAAAGGAAAAGCAAAGCACGGATGTAATGTCTACTTCACGAGGACCTGAAGGGAGACAGCAGTGCTCCGTGTAGTGAGTGCTGGCCTGGCGAGGGCCTGGCACACTGCCAGCAAGGCGACGGCACGCTCCACTCCGAGGGACACACGGAGGTGAAAAACAGGTACACACAGAGCTCACAAGAAGGGGCGGGGTTGAGTAATTTAACTGGCAAACGAGGTAATAAAATGTTTAGGATAATAAGGCTAGTAAAGTCGTAGGCAGGGCTGGGCCAGCTCCCTGGCTGCTTGCTGGGCACGAGCTGTGGCGAGGAGGGTCCTGGGCTGGGAGTCACCCCGGCACCCCGTGGAGAGCTCTGAGGTTAAAGGTGGAGGCCATTTCCTTTGCTCTGTTGGGGCTGGGACTTCCTTCTGTTGCCATTCCCGGAAGGATCAGAGGGCTGTGAAGAGCCAGCCACAGTGCCCCACCAGCCTGCCAGGCGGGCACCGCCCTCACGAGAGCAGCCTCCTCCACCCGGGCATGCGGGCTCCGAGGCAGCTTTAAATCCCAGAAACCATGTGAACACGATCCCACACATATTCAAACAATAACACAGTCCAGGGGTCACAGAAGAAGAGTGGCGAGTAAGTGCGGGAGGGGCAGCAGATTAGGAAAACATCCTCATGATACGACAAGGGTCTTTACTGGATGCTAAAGCCACGAGGTGCTGGGGGACAGGATAGTCCCACGAAGCCAAAGTACTTCCCAATGGGTTAGTGCTTCCTAATGTGCCTTGATAAGGGAGACCTGTGACCACCTCAACCAGTGCCCAAACCAGCCTCGCTGAGAGGGACGAGCTGGCGCGCTTCCCCGGATGACTTACCCTGTGGCGCCTATGACTTACACGTCACCTTGCAAGTAGTCCTGCACAAATGTTTGACCTAAATGAACTGAATCAGGCACTTAGACCTAACTTCCAGTTTACAGAAGATCTGAGGGAATGAGGAATGAGCTAAAACACATCATGAGGAAACAATCAGCTAAGTCCAGAAGATAGGACATTCCACAAAAAAACTGCCCTGGTCTTTTACTTACTTACTAGAGGCCCAGTGCATGAAATCCGTGCACTGGTAGGGTCCCTAGCGGCTGCCGGGGCACCGGGGCCTCCCTCCCTTCTCCCAGCTGGCCCTGCCCCCTGGTCAAACTCCTGGATGAACTCCGGGTCAAAGGGACAATCTGCATACTATGCTTTTATGATATAGAATTTATTTTTAAAGATTTTTGAGAGAGAGAGGAAGGAAGGGAAAGGGAGAGATAGACATTGATGTGAGTGTCACATCGATCAGCTGCCTCCTGCACGCCCTCTACTGGGGATTGAGCCCTCACCCCAGGCATGTGCCCTGACCAGAAATGGAACCGTGACCTCCTGGTTCATGGGTTGATGCTCAACCACTGGGCCACACGAGCCAGGCGTCTCCTGTTTTGTTTTGTTTTTTAAAGAGGCATAAAAATAGTTTTGGGACAATTAAGGAAATCTGACAAAGGACTAGAGTAGTATGGAGTATTGTTAATTTTTAAAATGGTATTTACTGAGGTTGTGAGAAGGTCCATATTTTAGGCAGTGTGGGCTGCAGTACTTAGGGCTGCATACCTACGACTTACTTTTAAATAGTTCCACAATAACAAAAGTTAGAAAAACCTTCTGAGGAGAGGGGCTAGTTTTCTATCCAGGGTCTGCAGTACCAAAGGTGCTCAAAATCACGACTGGAGAGCCCATGGTGCTCAACAGCTTAAAGAGTCAAGGCCCACGTGCCCAAGCGATGCCTGGATCAGAAGAACTGAAGACAAAACTGCCCGTCCAGGACCATCTGTCTGAGAGTGTGACAACCAGACAAGGGAGACAAACGAAATGTGTTACCGCGTCTATGCTCACATCCATCTCTGGGCTGCACGCTCCCCAGCATGGTCCAGCGTGCACCGGAAGGCAGTGCAGTGCATCGCTGGACCCGTGTTAGACCCAGGTGTCAATCTGTGGGTGGACCATCCAGGTTCAGCCTTGGGCTCTGCAGCGCGATGGCCAGGTAACTAACAACTTCGTGGAGACAGCATTTATTTAGGACCCACCTTATAGCCGTTTTTCACGTTACCCAGCGTTCAGGATACTCTCCTAAGGACACGAGGACCGGCCGGGCAAGCACCTGCCGGAGGGCACACGGCTAGGAAGCTGTGTCCCGCAGATGCCTCGCGACCCAGGACTGTTCCCTACCCAGGCAAACTGTGAAAGGGGCCTTAACAGCAAGCAGCTCCTTTGTCCGGAAGCTCGGATGAGGTCACCTTCACGGAAGGGCTTTATAAGCTGCAGTGCTGGCCCATGAAGGGGCGCATGCTGCTGCTGACACCGGCCACGAGCACCTCATCGTAAGTGACAGGAAGCAGCACTGGAGCACAGGCCCTGGCAGATCCGACAGACAGCTGCTCACCACCCCGGGCCCAGTCCTTTCAGGCCCAATGCAGAGACCCGCTCCAACCTTCCCCGAGCTGGAAAACACTCAGTGAGGACATGGCCCACCCCCTCCCTTCACCCAAATGAGAATTCTGAAACCCGACTGCAGGGCAGCAGGCCTTCTGTGCCCTCAATACACCAGAAGCTGGCTGCAACTCGCCAGAACCAGGCAGAACTGGACACACCCCCACCTTTTTGAGTTCCCCATCTCTATAACCACCCTCCCAGAACTCCCTCGGTCTCATAACCACCTCCTGGGCATCTGTCCTCAATCTGTCGGCAGAACGGCTGAGGGGACTATGTGACTTCCTGCCGCAGATTTAGGATGTGGGTGCCATGCATGATTCGTGGCTGTGAGAATCACTGAGCTACCAACAAGCTCAGGGAGGCAATGCCAAGAATGCCCACACCTATGGGTAGACACCTGCACTCCCCACCCACCCATTCCAGAGGGAAAGATGGGAACTCGGGCCCCTTGCTCCTAACAGCTGTCAACCACTGCCCTAGCAGGTGCTAAACGCTCCCTCAACTTCCTGTGGCTTCTGCCACCCCACACCCTCCTGCCCGCCTCCTGCTGCCTCGGGCTCCTACTGCCCCAGAAGGAACCCAGAAGACACTGAAGCCCAGACGTGGACTTCAAGACCCAGAGCAGTGAGAGGAGGGGCCTGCATTTGCATCCGGCCTCTAGACTGCTTCTCGAACTCATGTTTGAGGCTCCAAACAAATCCCCTTCTTCCTTGCAATCCCAAAGCACTTGGCCGAGAGCTCCATGCTCTGTAGGAACCCCGCTTACGGGTGGCATAATGCATCCAACAGGTTACTAGGCATGTATTGGGTGCCTACCAAATATGGCAAAGTCCCGTCCTCCCAGAACTTAAATCTAGGGACATAACTGAGTGAACTTTTCTTTAGAAGCTGAAACCAGAGCTGCTTGTGGGGGTTCTGCAATGCTCACGGGTCCCCCGAGTTACTGAAGCCTCCTGTCTCCCTTGCCGGGTGCCTTCCTTTAGTCCCTCAAACAGACCCTGTGTCAAAACTGCCTTCCACTGCCTCAAACCTCTACTGGCGCCAGGTGCTCCAGGGACAGGCGATCCCCGTCCCACGCCTGGCGAGGCCCCAGGTCCTCCAGGCCAGGTCTTGTCTCCAGGCTCATTTCCTGCCACTTCCCACCTCAAACTCCACCCCACGACCAAGGCAGACCCCTCTCTGAGCCTCCAGAGGCACCAGCTCTTTCCTGCCTAGCCTTTGAGCCTTTGCAAGTGTGACCCCCTCTGCAGAGAGCCCACTCCTGTTCCATCTTGAAGTCTCAGCTGAAAGCCACCTCCTCTGGCAAATCATTCTCGGCCCGATAGAGCTGGACGCACCCACACTGCACGGTGTACTTCTCTGCAGTCGAGGGCTGACTGATTTAATACCAGCTTTTCCCAAACCTCAGCTGGTCTGCCTCACCCAGAATCCACGCAGTGCCTGCAGAGGCCCTGGCTGAGGAGTGGGAGGAGCGGCAAAGAGCACCCGAAGCCCACGAAAGGCTTCCTGAGCGTCTGCGAGCCCCGGCGAGGTGTCAGCCGTGGTCCTGCTCTGCAGCAAGGTGACGCGTCACACTCCCTCCGCCAGCAAGAGCCGTCACCACCAGTCAGGGAGCCAGGAACAGCCAGAAACCAGGAGAGGAGGACACGGCAGCTGTGGTGTGTTCTACGTGGCGACAACCGCTCTCCCCTCTTCCAGTTTTACCTCCGTGTGCAAAGAGCTGGTCTCCGGGCTTTGAGCTTCAGAGGAATGGAATCATATTGCATTCTGGGAGGGGGACTACCAGCATCATGTTTGTGAGGTTCAGTCATGTGATTGTGAGCTGACTGTTCATTTTCGTTGCTTTCTGACTATAGAATTCTACTTCTGATATAGTCTATTTTGATGGCCATCTAGGTTGTCTCCAGTTTGGGACAATCACAAACACTGCTCATTTCTGCACACATATCCTAGTACCTACAGACAAGGAGAGGCAGCCTCAACCGCCTGCACCAATGCACGTTTCCACCAGCAGGCAAGCCACACCCACACCTGCTATTGTCAGCTTTTCAGTTTCTGCCAATCTAGTGGATGGAAAATAGAATCCCACTGTGTGTGTGTGTGTGTGTGTGTGAGAGAGAGAGAGAGAGAGAGAGAGAGAGAGAGAGAGATAAAAAAAGGAAAAGAAAAGAAAGAAAAAGAAACCACACAAGAGGCCCAATAAGAGGCAACAGAATCCTACAGCAGGTGCTCCTTAATCCAACAGTAAGTGCTCTAAGGGTTTGTCTTTTGGGGAGAGGGTTCAGCCAGCTTACATTCTTCCAACCGCTTCTGGGGGTCCCTGCTGCAGGCGAGCTCGCCCTCAGCTCAGGAGTGCAGCAAGAGGTCTAGTCAAGACCCCTGGCCACAGTGCTGGCTTCAGAGATGAGAAAATGACTTACTACAGCCAGTCGCAAGGAGGCCTCGCGGAGACATGGGGGAAAGATTCTTGGGGTTTCTCCAGAACCTGCAAGAGCTGGGTCATATGGTTAGAAGCTGCTGGAGCAGTTTCTTGAGAATGAAACCCACCAGGAGGTGAAGTGAAAGGAACCAGGTCCATCAGTGAACCCTTATCAAGCTGTGCCTGGAGCTATCCTACCCTTGAACTTTCCCCTCACATGAACCAATAACTGCTGTTAGGCCCAGCTGGCCTGGCTTGTCTGTAATCTGCAAAGAAGGAAAAAAAGAATCCTGACTGATATGCAGAGAGTTCTTGAAGGTTACCAAGCTGAAATATACAAAGAGCTTGTGCAGAAAGATAAGCCTGTTTATCTAGACAGAGGTCTTGTAACAAGGCAAATACCCATTGACAGTTCCCTCTCTGGCCCTCACCTGCCAGGCCAGGCCACCGCGCCTTCCTCACAGCGCCTGGACCTCTGAGTGAGGAAGCACAGGCAGTCTTCTTCGCCCCAGCTGTCGTTCTAACCGATGCCGGAAGGGGAGAGTCAGGGTTAGGACTGAGCTCCGGGTTTTTACCCAGCCCAGCCACTCTGCCGTGCAGCCTGGGGCTAGATCTCCGGACCTTTCTGATTCACAGAATCATCACGAAGAAACGGGAGTGGGAGGGCATCCCCAGGCCATCTGGGGTGTGGAATAATAGAAAAATGTTTTGGTCTCTGCTCCCGTTCCTGACACAGGCTCCTGAACCCCTGGTCATTTCCTGGTGATAGGAGCACGAGGAGCAGTTTTTGTTCTATTGAGGCGACTCTGGGTAGGCTCCTGGATGGGGCCTGTGCACCCCAAAGACCAAGCCTTGAATACAAGCTTGGAATTTTCAGCCCCATCTCCCATATTCAAGAGGGGAAAGGGGCTGGGAATGGAGTTATAACTGATCACGCCTGTGTGAGGAAGCTCCGTAAAATCCCAATGGTGCAGGATTCGGGGAGCCTCCAGGTGGAAGGTGGACACAGCCCAGCTCCACAGGGACAGCCGCTCCTGTACTCCGGACCCTCCCAGACCTCACCCGATAATCCCTTCATCTGGCTGTTCATCTGAATTCTTCCCACATCTGTTAATGAACCTGTATGTAAGTGTTGGGCTGAGTTTTCTTATTACAACAGGACAAACCGAAATAAAGGTTC